CGCGGCCCTTTACTGCCCTCCGCGGAAAAGCCCCGGGAGTCGGCTGAGGCGCTCCGGGGCCTTGCTGCCCTGTGGTGCCTCTCCGCGCCCGGCTGCGGGGCTTGGGCTGGGGTGACCGGGGATGGGAGAGGCTCATTCTCACCGCCCTGGTCTGCGAGTAGTCTATGGCGAGGGGCCGGGAGGGTCAGCTCTGAGCTGCCCTGCTCTGCTTCATGGGGCCCAGCTGCATGGGGCGCGGAGCAGGCCGGGGGAGCTGTAGGTGTGAGGCTGGGGCTGTCAGCCCCGGGCTGGGGTGCTGCCTGTTGTGGGCTTAGAGGTGCAGGTGAGCCCTGCCCTGCTTGACAGGTGCCGATCCCCAGGGTATCCTGAGCCTTTCTCTGCTTCTCCCAAAGCAGTCGGGCTTCCTCTGGCTCCCTGGATGTTTCAGGAGAATGCCTTGCATCGCTTTGTATCAGTTGTTTTATTGCTGTAGTTAATAAATGGTCTGCTCGCAGGAGTCTATAGCCCTCCTCCATCTGTACGTGTTAGTGACTAATGTATAAATTGAAGGGAGATAATGTCACCCATCTGCTGCAGCACTGTGCTGTAACAGCGAGATCGTGCTAGGTGTGAGCTTGAAGCAGGTCTTTGGTTGGAGAAAGCTGTTGTTTTAAGATATGATAAGCACCAAAATTCTCAGGTTTGCTGAGAACCAAAGGTGTTTTGGATTTCTGAACTAAATATGTCCAGTTTTGGTCTCTGGCTGCTCCACCCTGTTAAGAATTGGGTATGTTTAATTTGTAATAAAGTAATTAATGCATGTATCAGCTTGTCATTGATTTTGGGACTATGCTATGTCAAAGGTGTGTTACAGAAGCATATCCTCAATAATATTTCCCTGCAGAAACTCCTGGTAATCTACTATTTCAGACTTGACATTAAAGTCTTTGTTTTGTGAGTTAGTATCAAAAGACCAATTCCTCCTGGGGCCAGAATAGTGCTGCTTGATCCTTGTGGTCTGCTTTTCATTCACTTCTTTTAATGAAAAAAATGGCCAAGTTAATGACTTTAATGACTACACAATTATGAATGGACATTTAAGTTATTAATAGATCCTTAACGCTTTAAAACTTCCTGCATATTTTTCTCATAATTTGATTTAATAGAACACTTTCCTTTCAAATAATCCTACGGCCTTTTTTATTTTAGCTTAAGAAAGAAAATGCAGTTCTCTAAGACTGCTAAATCAAATGTCCACACTGATGCTGTGCACTCAAGCACCTGCCTGGCAGCCACAGGTGCTTTCCATCATGTGTGAATGGCAGTTTCTGCTTGGTCATGCTGAAAGCCCCTTTGGTTTTATAGTGTGGATTTGTTGCCTCTAAACTTTAAAGTATTACATAGGGAAAAGGATTAGGGGACAGGTTTGGTGTCTCTTGGGCTCCCTTCCACTTACATCTTTTGCAGTGTGATGAGTGCAGTTCCTGCAGAGCTGGGTACCGTCCATGCTGACAGATGTTGTACTGCTGCTGAGCTGGAGTTGGAGATTGTGGAAGAGCTCCGTGGCTGTCAGTTTGGAGAGCTGTCTAGACCTTTCTCTCTGTCTTTGCCCTGCCGTTCTCAGCTGAGTAGTTCATCTTATCTCTTACAACA